CTGAGTTAGTGTGCCCCCCTCTCTGTGTTAAACCTGAGTTAGTGTGCCCCCCTCTTTGTGTTAAACCTGCGTTAGTGTGCCCCCTGTGTTAAACCTGAATTAGTGTGCCCCCTGTGTTAAACCTGAGTCAGTGTGCCCCCTCTCTGTATTAAACCTGAGTTAATGTGCCCCCCTGTGTTAAACCTGAGTTAGTGTGCCCCTTGTGTTAAACCTGAGTTAGTGTGCCCCCCTGTGTTAAACCTGAGTTAGTGTGCCCCCCTCTGTGTTAAATCTGAGTTAGTGTGCCCCCCTCTCTGTGTTAAACCTGAGTCAGTGTGCCCCCCTCTCTGTGTTAAACCTGAGTTAGTGTGTCCCCTCTCTGTGCTAAACCTGAGTTAATTTGCCGCCCCGTGTTAAACCTGAGTTAGTGTGCCCCCCTCTGTGTTAAACCTGAGTTATTGTGCTCCCCTCTGTGTTAATCCTGAGTTAGTGTGCCCCCCCTGTGTTAAACCTGAATTAGTGTGCCCCCCGTGTTAAACCTGAATTAGCGTGCCCCCCATGTTAAACCTGAGTTAGTGTGCTGCCCTCTGTCTGTGTTGAACCTGAGTTAGTGTGTCCCCCGTGTTAAACCTGAGTTAGTGTGCCCCCCTGTGTTAAACCTGAGTTAGTGTGCCACCCCCCGTGTTAAACCTGAGTTAGTGTGCCACCTCCCACGTTAAACCTGAGTTAGCGTGCCACTCCCACGTGTTAAACCTGAGTTAGTGTGCCACCCTTCTGTGTTAGACCTGAGAGTCTCACCCCCACTGTGTTAAACCTGACTTAGTGTGTTGCCCTCTCTGTGTTAATCCTGAGTTAGTGTTCCCAACTCTGTGTTAAACCTGAGTTATTGCTCCCCCCTGTGTTAAACCTGACTTGGTGATCCCCCTCTGTGTTGAATTCTGAGTTAGTGTGCCCCCCTCTTAAGCCTGAGTTAGTGTGACCCCCTCTTAAGCCTGAATTCGTGTGCCCCCCTCTTAAGCCTGAGTTCATGTGCCCCCCTCTTAAGCCTGAGTTTGTGTGGCCCCCTTTCTATGTTAAACCTGAGTTAGTGTGCCGTTCTGTTTCAAACCTGAGTTAGTGTGTCCCCCTCTTAAACCTGAGTCAGTGTGTGCTCTCTCTGTGTTAAACCCGAGTTAGCATGCCTCCATTCAAACCTGAGTTAGTGTGAACAAAGAACAAAGAAAATTACAGCACAGGAACAGGCCCTTTGGCCCTCCAAGCCTGCACCAATCCGGATCCTCTATCTAAACCTGTCGCCTATTTTCCAAGGATCTGTATCCCTCTGCTCCCTGCCCATTCATGTATCTGTCTAGATACATCTTAAATGACGCTATCGTGCCTGCCTCTACCACCTCCGCTGGCAATGCGTTCCAGGCACCCATCACCCTCTGCGTAAAGAACTTCCCATGCATATCTCCCTTAAACTTTTCCCCTCTCACCTTGAAATCGTGACCCCTAGTAATTGAGTCCCCCACTCTGGGAAAAAGCTTCTTGCTATCCAGTCTGTCTATACCTCTCATGATTTTGTAGACCTCAATCAGGTACCCCCTCAACCTCCATCTTTCTAATGTAAATAATCCTAATCTACTCAAGCTCTCTTCATAGTTAGCATGCTCCATACCAGGCAACATCCTGGTGAACCTCCTCTGCACCCTCTCCAAAGCATCCACATCCTTTTGGTAATGTGGCGACCAGAACTGTACGCAGTATTCCAAATGTAGTCGAACCAAAGTCCTACACAACTATAACATGACCTGCCAACTCTTGTACTCAATACCCCGTCCAATGAATGAAAGCATGCCGTATGCCTTCTTGACCACTCTATCCACCTGCGTTGCCACCTTCAGGTACAATGGACCTGAACACCCAAATCTCTGTGTGCCTCCTTCTTTGCTTTGAACCCAAGTTAGCGTGCCTCCTCTGAAATAATTCCACAGAGGCCGGTATCCTGTCACCAAGTCACCCTTTATTTCCACGTGCATTGTAGTTGACACTGGTCCAGCTTCCTCAGAATGAACAGGATGTCTGACATTCCTGTTTATATCTGTCAGCCAGGGCTTCCTGATTGGACCAGTTTAACAATCCCAAA